AACAAGTTTACATTACAAACTTCTTCATGGAGTTTTTTCTTGAGTCCTAGTTTTGTGGCTAAAGCACCAGACAGACCTTGCAAGTATGGGCGAGCACTGGGCTGAAGTAGGATTCAACCCCCAGCAAGTCATCACTCTCCGCACAGCTGAGCTGGCACAGACTTGGAGAAGCTCCTCTGCCTTCTGTCTTAGGCTAGGCAGGTGGGTAAGTACCAAGAAAGTCACTTTGGGACAGGATTGCAGGCTTACCAACCAAGGTACAATTATAACCTTCTCATCATTGCTCGCAGAAAGCTCAAAGTCACAAGAACCTTCATTTATCATCATTGTGCAACTGCTGCTAGAAAACCCATAGGCTTTTAAATAGCTCCTGAAGTCTGAAAGTGAATCTAAAAGCATTGTGAAGTCCTGGCAAGAAACTTGGGGTTCCTTTTCTTTTCTGACAGTAGAAATTCACAGGAGACTAACTCCTGCTAAAGTAGCTGCAGCCATTCTATAGCTGGTTTAAAACGAACAAAAAAGCCACAAATCCCAGAATATTAGTTAAGTTTTTAAATACAGTTGTATATTTTGGAGAGTTTAGAAGTCCTTCAGGAACTTTATAATAGCTTGGAACACTCAGTTATAACTTCCATAACTGGGCATTAAGCTCAGCTTTTTACCAGCTATTTTGGTATAGTCAGTGCACTCTGCAGTGCTACAACAGCATTTACAGCTCTTTTCTTCTAGGTTGTTACACGTGGAGAACAATCTCTTCTTATGCCAGGGAGCCCCAGAGCACCGAACACTAACAGAAAGATACCATCAGTAGCACAAAGGCACCAAGTTTCCCAGAGCAGCAAAATAAGACCCGATCTCAAATCATCAGTAGCCAAGATGAGTATACTCCCTACTGCTCCCAGATTTAACCCCAGGTGTAACACATGCAGCCTTGCAGCCACAGGCAGGAGAGCAGGAAAACAGTGGCTGTAGCTGTGAAACCTGTAACCCACAGAAAAACGACCAAACCCCCACACTCCTAGCTTAAATTTCAGTCCTGCACCTCTTTGCTTTGATGCAGGTAATTGTCTTCGCACACATTTCCCAACAATATTTCCTGCTATCTGCCCTGTTTCTAAAAAGTACATTTAAGAAGCTTAGATCACTGTTGGCCTCAGAGTGTGAGTGATAAAAGGTACAGCAATCCCTCAAATGAGTTTAAGACAAGTGATGGATGGCAGATGAGCACAGAGGCAGGCAACCATTACCCTGGGTTCCTCTTGTATCACCGTTAAATAGAGCTGGAGAGGCATTGTGTTCCTTTGGTGGCAGGCTGCATCTCTAACGGGATAAACTTCAACGTGCTAATTGGCACAGACTACAAATTGGCTGCCGGTGTGTGCCTGGAGGTCCTGGGCAATAGGCTGAATGAAGCAAATTTCTGTGTAATTGCCCAAAGAGATTTGGACTGAAATCCTTAATCACAGTTTTAATGAGGGAACAAGAATTCTGATTTTATCAGTTGCTCTGTGTTAGCTTTTGCCCACAACTATTGGAGATAGCTCTTTCTTTGATTTCTGATCTGCAACGCACAGGCCATGGTCATGTCTAAATGGGCCTTGTCATCTAGGGAGAAAAGGTGAAGAAGTGAAATCGGAATGGGAGGAGGAAGAAACTCAGCAATGCTTTTGCTGTGTTTCAGGAAACTCTGGTAGGAGTGGCAGGATGGAAACCACAGAATAGCCAGGGGCAAATCCTCCTGATGGCTGAGCAGATGGATGACTGCAGCCAAGGCCAGCAGAGCCAAGCCAAGTCACCTCAGCACCTTGCCCCTGCTTGCTGCATCTGCATGCTCAGTGGATAGATGAATACTCCAGCTATCATTTTGTTTCTTCAGGATGCTGTAAGAAAGGGACATTTGGAAATAGTGATCAGAATGTCTATTTGCCTTTCCTAATCCTCTCCTTTTTACAGAGCCATGCTTTAGAGAAACAGAAGCACATAACCTGGCCAAGGTCACAAAGCTTTCACAAAGCCCTAGTTTTAAGACTCTTTAGCAACTTCTAAGACTCTTTAAGACTATTCTAGCAACTCAATATGGTTCAGTTCACATTAGACAAACAAGACTCATGATCTATATGCACACCAGAAAATAGCTATTTCCCCATCTTTCTCCTCCCTGAAAAACTCACATTTGGGGAAAAGATTTAAACCCAGTAGGGTTTGTATTCTCCTGCCATAATGTTTGGCTGTCTCATCTGAAGAAGCCTTTTCGCTGAGTTGCTAAGACAGTTCATTATATTCCCTCAAATCTCCAGCACTTTGAAGACCACCACTGTAGTGCTGGCCACAGCACCTGAAGCTGCACATCTCTCCCCTCTACAGAGAACCACACAACAGCCTATGTATTTGTCTTCCATTAACAATGTTATCATAGAATCATAGAATCATAGAATATCCTGAGTTGGAAGGGACCCTTAAGGATCATCAAGTCCAACTCTTGACACCGCACAGGTCTACCCAAGTTCAGACCATGTGACTAAGTGCACAGTCCAATCTCTTCTTAAATTCAGTCAGGCTCGGTGCAGTGACCACTTCCCTGGGGAGCCTGTTCCAGTGTGCAACCACTCTCTCTGTGAAGAACCCTTTCCTGATGTCCAACTACTCTGAAATAATTGTTTTTAAGGCATTTCACAGCAGGTAGACCTTAGATAGGAAGGTAGCTTGTTTCTTAATGCTTAGAACCAATTGCAACTCTTATAAACACCACCCCTAGCCCACCGCCCCATTCAGAATGGCCATTTTCCCCCATAAACAGATAATCTCTTTCCAAGACAGAGAGTCTCAAGAGATAATTAGTGATTCATGAATCTTTATTGTCTATCTCAATACTCCAAGCCATAATAGCCCAGATGATGACAAAGCAGAGCTTTTTAACCACTATTTTAACCTTATTTTCTTTGTATTGTTAAAGAAAATTGTACATTTTCTGTCTTTTGAAAAGAGGAAACAGACTGCGACAAACCAGGGCCTCTTTGGTTAATACATTACTGAAAGTTGATGGATTAGTTCTAACATTGATTAGCTCAGTACAAATAAATACAACTTATATTTTATATAACATTATGAATGTCTCCTGGCATCTCTGGGATCACGACAGAATAGACTTCATCCTCTTTAGTACAAGGTTATAGGTAAGAATAGATGTCATGCTGTTTTAAACAGCATTCACTGATAAGGGTAAACTAATCAGACAGGAAGAGAGAAAGGAACACATTTTCTAATGATTTCTTCTTAGTTAAGCACCCCAGGATTATGAAAGACAAGTAAAAGAGTTCAGCAAACATCCCTTTGCATTTCAGACATCAATCACTTCCCATGTTAAGTACAACAAACATTTGCATTCCTATTTGTATTTGAAAGAAGCAAAAACCACCATACAAGATTTTTTTTCTTAAATGCCTTCCTAGAAGTGACCACAAGTCATTTTGAAACCCACAAGCTGAGAGAGGCTGCTTATAGCCGAGTATCTCTGCCTAAGCAAGGTTATTCATCTTTGGATAACAAAGTGGCAGGACAGGTGAATCACACAAACACAGCACAGCCAGAAACAAGAGAAGGAATGCCTGAATCTTGTTCAGTATGAGTGAAATATGTATTTCTGATGTGCTGCTGCCCACAGCGAGCTCAGCCTTGTGCTTCCCAACCCAGCTTTGGGCTTCCCCTCTGCTGCTGGTGAGCCCCAAGGGGAATGATGGCTTTGAGAAGAAACCACCATTTTTATTAGAGGTTTGTCCCCTGGCTTGGGTCAGCTACATGGGAGGAGAAAATAGTGTAGTGGAAGGGCTAAACTCAAGACTGTAAGTACACTTAATAAGGCTCTCAACAAGGTGAAGTGTTTGGGCATCTGGCTGGCATTTCTCAGAAGAAAAATAACTTTGAATAGTCACTGAGGTGATAGGAGAAGGACCAGATGTTTCCTGATAGCTAGCAAGGCTTATTCTGATCTTAGTTCCAACGCTTCCAGATACACGCACATTTCTGTACACCCTTCCCCCCAAAAGAATACTAATCTTCCCACAAAAAAATCCTTAAAGAGAACACAGATTAATAAATAAATAAAGCTCCTCCTGCCCTGGAGAAACACATTGATTGTCATCTCTCTATTTCTTTGCCTTTTTTTTTTTTTTTAAATTTACACTTCAAAGAAGAAACTAAAGAGAAAGAACAGTCTACAGCAGCACCAGCTTAACTAAAACAATTTTTGAATATTCATTTTCCCTCCTCTCTCTGCAGGAAGATTGGTGCTGCTATTGCAGTTGCGTGATGTGCATGCTGAGGCTCTGTTGAGCTCCGATTTCCAGTGAAAGAGCATCTACTGCATTTTTATGCTTGTTAGTGTAATTATAATTCAATATTTGCACTGCAATAACACCTAAGCAATCAGGCTGAGATTTGTTCTGCTGTGCAGCGTACAAACATATTGATATGACCCAAAAAGGGCTGAGTGACTGCCAGTCCCACCTCGCAGAAAGCACATATGATTTAAAGGCTAAGTCTACAACATTTTTGTCAAGACTCGTATGTCTGTCACCTGTATGAAGACCTGAACTAGGAAAAGTGAACAGAAACATGAACTTTAACATGTATTCTTCTATTGTGTTCATGCACAGACTCTACAATTACGTGCCTGCAGCAACCAGCTGAACCACCAGAGTGGTTCAGCATGGAACATGTGCAGATCAAGGCACCAGCCCAAAGCCCACTGAGATCCAAGCCCTATCATTTTGGCTAAAGCACACTATCTACCTCTGCTCATAAGAGAGCCAACAACTTCTAGTGCTTCTTTCACTTTTTTTCCTCCATCCCATCCTGCCCTTCTCTCTCTAGGAAATTCATCATCTTAATATTTGCAGTTTGTAGCATTTCTAAATAGACAAAACACCAAACCAGTAAGTAGTAATTTTTTCTATCATACAGAAAATAGTTTATTCTTATAAAAAGGGAAAAAAGTAATTTACCTTATCATTTGATGAGATGTCCAGCTCAGAAAAAACAGGCCGTTGTTTGATGCTTCACAGGCAAATACCATATTTGACATTCATTGCATTACTGTGGCAGTAAACCTTTCAGAACTTTGAGTGATTACAAAGGCTGTGGATGTGGTGTGTTTACACATATGAACACATAGCTTCAGGTACACATATACATTAAATACATGCTTGTGTGTATACACAAACATAAACACGCCCCTATGGGTTTTTGTACCCAGAGGACAGAATTTGAGCTTTGAGTACCTTAAAAAAAAGATGCAGAAAAGAAGCCACAAAAAACTCATTAGGAGAGCAGTGGAGGAGTTATCCAGCTGCCCCCATAACTTCCACTGAGATAAACAGGAGACAAACTCTCGTGGCTCAGGAAATCCCACTGGCTTCAGCAAAGCACAGAAAAACCAGAGACTCCAAATATCCAGGGACCTAAGAACTAGCAGGCTACTTGACACAATCACCACAAACCTGGCAAACACACCTTAGCTCTCAAGCCAAACGCAATGTACCACAACATACCCTGAACCTGCTGAGCAAGTTACTATCAGCTGTGGTAACCCTACCCACCACCACCAGAGCTATGGGCCATTAAGCCAAAGCTTGTTTCAATTAGGCTAATTAATTACTACTTTGCAGCACCTTCCCCTCAGCTGGACCCTGCCATTGCTAGATTATTTCACACTGATGAGAAAGAAAAATTGTGCCCCCAAAGATAATCAACAATCTGCTTCAAAGCATTCATATTTATATTGAGTAACAGTAAACACAACAACAACAAATAATTACTTTTACAGCAGCTGAAGGTTAGTTGGGCAGCATGACACTGGGATGCTCTCAGTGGGAAGCCCAGGAGAAGAGCATGAGCCCTTTTCAGGGACCTCAAACTTAACCCACAGCTAATACTTGTATTTGGTAATTCCTGCTGCATTCAATAAGCTTCAGCTGCTGATAAAGCCCGGGCCCTTGAGAGCTCACCTTTATCAGCCTGGGCAAGCCACACAGCAGCAGTTTTGAAAGCCATGTGCTGTCTTTAGCACAAGGTGGGTGACACCCAGACCGCATTTTCCTTCTCTGTAAAATGCCAGGCTCCTGCAGATGTGGTGTGATATGGTATAAACCTGTGAGCCCAGCTGACTGCTGTGTCTGGGGGCTGAGCGGAGGGAAGGACCTTGTCCCGCCTCCTCTCACCTGACTGAGGTACTTCTGGTAACAGCCCTCACCTCTGCCTCGTTGAGCCTCTTAAAATCACCTTCCTGAAAATAAAGGGGTGTCCTTTAGTGCTCTTCTACTTCATCACATTGATATAATATGAAATGGCTTGTATTTGCTTTCTTGGATGAAGAAAACACCTACAGGTGCTTCTTATGTAGGCCTCAGTTATGTGCCATGAAAGACAGTGACATTTTTAGTGCTTCTTGATCTCCTTACAGCAGGGAAGAATATTTTTGCCTTCTGACCTCATTTTGATCAGCTTTGGGTGGCAGAAGGTATGTTACAACTGCATAATCACTATTTTAGCAAAAATAAACCCATCAATACATTAAACACAACACGTGTTCCAGCTGGCTGGCCTGAATCACAGTAACGAGTCCAAACTTCATGATCAATTCAGTGAGATGCTTCCTGTCAGGCCAAGAGCCACAGAGATGGGGAGAGGTGACCCAAGGCATGACAGGCCCCTCTGATGTTCCTGCCAGCCACAGAGTTTCAGTTGAGCTTTTTGTTTATTTACCCCCAAAGAAAATCCAATTCTGTAATTTTCTCCCTTCCTCCAAGATGAGTAAACTGCATTTTTCCTAAAGAGATGACAATCAGCTGTCAATCGCAACGACAGTTGCCAGCCCTCATGGTCCTTAAACAAATTAATTCCATTAAGATCTAATGATTCTCTGTTGTGAAAATGTTCTGCCACTATTTAGATTGCAAGCATCTGACAGAAAATATATGCTTTCAAAGTGGCCGTAAATACTATCACAAGGCAGCAAGTAGGAGTACTGATTTCATCTGAACAAAGGTTCTTGTTATAAACAAACTTAATAAAAAGCACCCTCGCTTTGCTTTCGTTTATCTGACAAGCTAGCAGCATTTCTCAGATTTCAGCACTTCAGTTGGTCTTTGGGTAATGCCTATTCCTCCTTCATATATTTTTTTGTGAGTCATATCTGCAGAGACAGCCGATCCTTCCATATCTTCTCATACTGGCTGCCAGCAGCACTCCCAAGGTTCCCACTGAGGGCACACAATAGCCCAGGGCTGCTTGCTCCTGGTATGCTTCCAGTCTGCATCTCTCCAGGTCCCTGTTCCTCTGCATCAGACACCAGAGGGGACAGGACAGCCCTGTGCAGCATGGCCAGCCCCTCCCCGTCTCCTGCCACAGAGCGGCCCCACCATCCAGCCCAGCACCGGCAGCAGGAGGAGGCTCTTTCACCTTTCAGCTGCTGTCTCCACAGCCATGTAGCTTGTCAAAAACCAGAAAGAGGTGTGTTCTTGTTGTTACACACACTGTACGTTCTAGCCTCTGCAGCGTTGTTTTGGCTTGTATAAAGCACTTCATTTTGGAAAATGAGAGGTGGAGGTGGGCTATGGAGCTGCCTCAACTTCTTTAACAGCGATGGAAAGGGAAGAAGGAAAGACTGCTTTGCTATAATCACAACACAAAAATAAGAAAAAAAAAATGATGTTACCAGACTTTAGGTTGAAAATGAATGGAAGGGGATGTATGTTCATATAAATTATGATTAAAGTTCTCTGTCCCAGGGCATTTTGAAGACCAAAAGCACAGCTAGGCTCAGACAAGAGACTGGCAGGTTTCTGGAGGACACTAGTCTGGCCGTAGGTGTTTTTAAACACAGTGGTCTACAAGCAATGCCAGGGCAAGCAGAGTAATCTCCCTTTTAGCAATCATTTTGCTTGTCCTGCTGCTCTCCGGTTAACTATGTAATTCTGTATTTTCCAATAATAGTGCTTTCTTTTAGTCTGTTCTTGAGAAGTGTTCTGTCTGGATTTCCCCCCCAACCCCGTATTTTCTCTCTCTCTTATCAGGGACAGAGACAGACAACTCTGCAACTCCCCAGCAAGTGCTCCATCAAGCCATGAACTTTGCTGCAGCTAGTTATCTCACCCCAGCACTGAATTCTTATCAGAAACTCTCCACTTTTTTTTTTTTTTCCTTTTAATTGCAAATAAAAGGAAAGAATATGCTGCTATTCGTCCCCATTTCCCCAACATCTACCATTTCTGTGCATCTCCCTTTATTCACAGAGGATCCTAACAGTATTTGTCGAGGAGATGATAGCATTTCTGAACACCAGAATTACCATCTTCTCTGCTGCTCAGCAGCATGCCACCAGGGCTTTAGGGCACAGAGGTAAGAGATAACTCCTCCTGCTTATCACAGGCCAGGGCAACGCAGCCCACTGAGCACACTGAGAGCCCAGACCCAGTACAGTGCAGTTACTGAGAGCAAGCTGCAAGGAAGGACAGAGCCAACAGCTCAACTGGCTGCTGAGATTGCAACAGAGAAGTAGAAACACTGGAGCAAAGCTGTGCTGTTTCACAGCACCTGAAATTGCTGTAATGTACTCACATTACTCTGCATGGCATTTTTAAAAATTTCTCCTGAGCTCAATTTTCTAACCACTAGTACACTGTTTCTTATCAAAGACCTCCTCCTTTTAACCTACCTTCCTGCATTATACCCACTAAACAGATATAGCCAAAGACAGCTGAAAATCTGATTTGGGGAAGTTTTCCTTTATCCTCACTTATATTACTTTTCTCAGATTCCAACCTTCTGCCTGAACTGTGAGATAGGAAAGTAGTCGGCAATCTTTGTTTTAGCAGACTGGGTTTCAAAGGAAACAGGTTCTGCTCGCGTGTACTGACAGCCATCTGTCCCCTCTCGATGCCTGCAAGGCCTGTTAAAACCTTCAGCTGCAGTTATTTTAAGAAAATATGTGAAACAATCTCTTTTATACGAGCAGGGAAACCTCATCAGGAGCAGTAATACATAAAAATAATTGAGCCGAAGTGACAAGCAGGAACAGGGCTGCAAATCCGAGAGCCAGGTGCAAAACACACTCAAAACCTGGTCTTCTGCCCTGAAATCTGCCTGTGTGTTGCCTCTGCTGGGTATGAGATGAAAGTGGGACAATGGAAGCTCCCAGCAGAGCCCCCCAGGGCAGGTCCCAGCAGCCCATGCCCATCTGATGAGTCTCAGTGCCCCACTGTGCAGGCAGATTTGTGTTTGGATACAAATTTAATAGAGCTAAAGAGCTGCAGGTTTCCCAATTAGTGCCCACCACCACAGCATGGGTGAGCACAAGCTCTGCGCCCACCCCTCCCGCCCTGCCATGATCCAACTGTTTAGCTACACACTCACAGGTTGCTTTGAGCAACTCTGCATGAAACATCTCCTCTTCTGTGCACTAAAGCTCAGCTCTTTGAGATAAGTCTCACTGAATTTCTTACACAAGTGAATTTACACTCAGGCCATAGGAAGGGTAACGCAGTAGTATTGGGCTAAAGATGAACCATTTCACAGAATCACAGAATTTCTAGGTTGGAAGAGACCTCAAGATCATCGAGTCCAACCTCTGACCTAACACTAACAGTCCTCCACTAAACCATATCGCTAAGTTCAACGTCTAAACCTCTTTTAAAGATCTCCAGGGATGGTGGCTCCACCACTTCCCTGGGCAGCCCATTCCAATGTCTAACAACCCTTTCAGTAAAGAAGTTCTTCCTAACATCCAACCTAAAACTCCCCTGGCGCAACTTAAGCCCATTCCCCCTCCCCTGTCACCAGGCACGTGGGAGAACAGGCCAACCCCCACCTCGCTACAGCCTCCTTTAAGGTATCTGTAGAGAGCAATAAGGTCGCCCCTGAGCCTCCTCTTCTCCAGGCTGAACAAGCCCAGCTCCCTCAGCCGCTCCTCGTAGGACTTGTTCTCCAAGCCCCTCACCAGCTTCGTCGCCCTTCTCTGGACCCGCTCAAGCACCTCGATGTCCTTCTTGTAGCGAGGGGCCCAAAACTGAACACAGTACTCGAGGTGCGGCCTCACCAGAGAAGAGTACAGGGGGACAATCACCTCTCTAGCCCTGCTGGCCACACTGCTTCTTATACAAGCCAGGATGCCGTTGGCCTTCTTGGCCACCTGAGCACACTGCTGGCTCATATTCAGCCGACTGTCAACCAATACTCCCAGGTTCTTCTCTGCCAGGCAGCTTTCCAACCATTCCCCTCCCAGCCTGTAGCTCTGCTTGGGGTTATTGCACCCCAGGTGCAGGACCCGGCACTTGGCCTTGTTGAACTTCATGCAGTTGACCTCAGCCCATCGGTGCAGCCTATCCAGATCCTCCTGCAGAGCCTTCCTGCCCTGGAGCAGATCGACACACGCACCTAACTTGGTGTCATCTGTGAACTTACTGAGGGTGCACTCAATGCCCTCGTCCAGATCATCGATGAAGATATTAAAGAGGACCGGCCCCAGCACTGAGCCCTGGGGGACGCCACTAGTGACTGGCCTCCAACTGGACTTGACTCCATTTACCACAACTCTTTGGGCCCGGCTATCCAGCCAGTTTCTAACCCAACGAAGCGTACGCCAGTCCAAGCCAAGAGCAGCCAGTTTCTTGAGAATGCTGTGGGAAACGGTGTCAAAAGCCTTGCTGAAGTCAAGGTAGACCACATCCACAACCTTTCCCTCATCCACCAACCACATCACTTTGTCATAGAAGGAGATCAGGTTCGTCAAGCAGGACCTGCCTTCCATAAACCCATGCTGACTGGGCCTGATTGCCTGCTTGCCCTGCAAGTGCCGCGTGATGATTCTCAAGATAATCTGCTCCATGAGCTTCCCTGGCACTGACGTCAAACTGACAGGCCTATAGATCGCTGGGTCTGCTCTCCAGCCCTTCTTGTAGATGGGCAT